GCTCCCAGGGAACAAGGGACAGGAGGAGAGGGAACGGCCTCCAGCTGTGCCAGGGAGGGTCAGGTTGGACATTGGGAAAATTCCTTCCTGGAAAGGGTGGTCAGGCCCTGGCACAGCTGCCCAGGGCAGGGGTGGAGTCCCCATCCCAACAGAACATCCCCAATCAGGGACGGTCTGTTGGTGCTACCAGAGGCTGGAGACTGATCTGAGCACAGCCCTGCTGGGGGCAGGAGTGCCAAGGGAGGATTGATCTCCAGAGGGATAAAGTGATTGGTGGGACAGGATGACCAGGGACTCTCCAGCAAGGCAAAGCAGCCAACACCCCTCCCTGCCATAGCCCACAGCCCCAGAAACCCAACCAGACCCCCTGATTGCCCCAAATCCACCCACAAGGGTCCCCCAAAGCCACCTTCCCCTTGCAGGGACCTGCTCTCCCCTCCCACCCCAGAAAGAGCCACTCAGCCCCCGAAGTCCTGGTCCCCACCCACATCCTCAGGCCTGGGCACACAAAGCCCCTCATCCCACGAGGCCCAGGGAATGCCACCCCCATCCCCATCCCCATCCAGCACCCTGTGCCAAGGGCACTCACGGGAGTGGGTACTTCCTCCACAGGACCTTTGGGGACAGGGTCTGGTACACGGTTTTCTGCTTGCCCTCCGTGCTGCTGCTGCCGTGGCTGCTGTGCAGGATCTTGGAGCACTCCATCTTCTCATCCCACGTGCCAGACATGACGTAGTGGGCTTTGCCATCGGCATCACTCACCACCCCTGTCACCTGGCAGGGGGAGATGGCATTTGGAAGTGCCCAGAGGGGCAGAACACCCTCCAGGTGCCCCAGCTGGAGCAGCTGGATCTGGTGCTGTGTCTCCTCAGACATCAGCTGCATCCAGCACAGGGGAACATGTGGCCATTCTGACCATGCAGGTGGGTCTCCAGCCCACCCAACCCCTCCAAGGTCTCAGGGCTGCAGCTCCAGCACACAGAGAGCCAAAACAAGGGACATGGAGGTTAAAAACACAGGACGTGGAGGTCCCTCCCAGCCCTCCTGGTGACCCCCATCCAAGGAGCCAGCACGGCCCCTCAGCCCCGTGCTGGGGCTCATCCCAGTGGTACTGGGAGCCTGGGAGCCCAGCTCAGAGGGAAGAGCCAGGTCTCACCCCACCCCAGGCTGGCAAGAGGAGCGGGGCCATTGGTGGGTACTCACCTTTCGGGGCACATCCCTGGAGAAGTAGCTGTAGGGGGTAAATTTCAGCTGGCATTTATCTTTGGACTTATGGTTAACAATCTCTATTTCACCAGACTGGATAAAAGACAGAACCACAGCAGGGAGAGACAGAGCAGCTGTTAGTTGTAGAGCAGGTACAAATCAACACTGGGTACAGCACCATGGCTGGCTGGAGCTCCTGCACCAGCCACCCCTCCCTGCCCCACGGAGCTGCTGGACTGGGGAAGAGCCGGGAGGAGCTCCAGGAAGCCTCCCCCAACCCCTGCCAGGGAAGCAGAGCTTTCCACCATGGCAGGAGCACCCCAGGAGGGCAATGCCCAGCCAGGTGAGGCCAGGCAGGACCTGTTTCCTCCCCCACAGCCACCAACCTGGTCAATCCAGAGCTTGCCCACGATGATGTTGTGCACAGTGGAGGTGACTTTCCTCCACACATAGTGATTCCCACTGGAGTGGAACTCGAGGTGGATGGCACCTGGGGAGAGAGGGGTTCCCTGAGTCCAGAGAGGGCAGAGGCTCCCCCAGAACCCACCATCACCTCATGCTCATCCTCAGAGCCACCCCAGCCCCTCTACCTGCATCCCCCATCCTCTGCCCCCACTGGGGCTGGGGCTGGATTCATCTCTCCCCTTCCTGCACACCCCCTCACTCATCTGCTCCAGGAAGGGAGGTTCAACCCCTGCCAGGCCCTCTGCCCTTTGCCAAAAATACTCATTTTAGAGCAGGTCAGAAATGTGCTGCCTGGCTGACTCAGTGTCCCAAGGCCAGGCACCAGCACCACTCTGGGACCAGCCCTGGGCACAATGCCCAGCCCAGGGACAGGCAGAAGACAAATAAAACACTGCAAGGAGGCAGCTTATTGCACTCAAAAAGGATTATTTCCAAAGCAAAGTGGCCTCCCTTTGCAGCTGGCATCATTTCCACTTGCAGGGCAGATGTGTTATTGTGGGATCACTGAGCCAGGAGCACAAATCTGGGCTCCTTACATTGCTCAGGGTGGAATTCACTGAGCCCTGTGTGAGCCCAAGGGATTCACTGAGCTCCAGGTGAGCCCAAGGGACCAGCTGCTTTGACCTTTGGGGGCTGCATGAGCAGTGCCAGGAACCCCAACCCCAGATGCTCCCCGAGTCCATCACCTACCCAGTGGCATGATGGAGAGGTATTTGCCCCTGAACTTGCTGGCGATGGTGATCTCCTGCCACAACGTCCACCCTCGCCGGGAGTACACGTGGTGGGCGGCTGCTGGGGGGTGGTGGCTCACCTGGGGACAGGAGAACAGCCCATAAGGTCACAGGTGAGTTATCACAGCAGGACTCCTCGGAGAGGAGGAGGTCCATGCCAGCTTTCATGCTAAGGATGCTCCAGGTGCTGTCCTGGACACCTCAGTTTCCTCCTGGGCATTGGGGTGATCCTCCATGAGGTATCCTGGCTGCCAAAGGAGCTGTGCCAAGCTTGCCAAGCTCCTGCCAGGATTTGCTAAGGCTCATTTCACAGCATTATCCATAACAGCTCAAGCAACCATCGTGGTGAGTTGCTGCAGTGCCATGATCCCAGGACATGGCTCTGCTCTCCAGGGATCCTGACTGAGAAACAGGGAAGTGCTGGCACCCCAGTAATCCCAATGTAACAGCACCTCTCCTACCAGCAGCAGTTCTCACTGCTCTGCCTTGGAACTCACGGGGACACAGGTCCCCACTTTGTCCAAGACACACAGCAAGACTTTGGCTCTGCCTTTACGGACACACTGGGCTGGAAAAGCGGATACGACATCCTAAATCCTGAGAATGACTTGTTAAAGGGTGGTGTTCATCCCCTGCCCTGGAAAAGCTGTCTAAAATGAAGTTGGGAACAGGAACATCTCAGGCAGAGGGTTCTGCCCTCGTGCAGGGTGTCAGCTGATGGCACAGCCCAGCCTGGCACAGGCCACCCATCCCCAGGACCACTGAGTCCAGGCCCCGTGGCCACTCACGGAGCTCAGGGTGATTTTCACTGCTGTAATTACAGACTGAGTGCCCCAAGCTCAGGATTACACACAGCCAAGCTCTCACCACCAAATCCCAGTCACCAGTAGGAGGAAATCCTATTTGGATAACTGGATTTCAGGCACTGGATTATCAACGCTTGGCTTGGCACGTTGGCTGAGCAGCACAAGCAGCATCCAAGGAAAATTCTGAGAAGTGGGAAGGGTGTCTGTCTGTCTGTCTGTCTGTCCTGTGTCAAAGTCACACTGCCACTAAAACATGCCCTTTGAGATGGTTCCAGGGGGATGGAGAGGCTCCATTCAAAGACCAAAAGCTCTGGAGCAGGTCTGCTCCCAGTTACACTAATCCTGATGTGGGATGAAGCTCTTGTGCTGTGCCAGCGAGGGAGGGACTCAAGGACAGGCAGAGGGCAGCACCCAGGGATCAGGCTGGTGTGGAAGGGTCCAGAATACCAAATTTGGAGGAAAACTGGGACCACCTGGAGAAAATAATTCCAGGCAACTTAATTACTTGGAAGGCAACAGGGGTGGAGGAAGGAAGGTGGTGGAGAGGAGGGTGAAGGAGTAAGAACAGGGATGATAAGGTGTGGGAGTGGTGTGGTCAGAGGTGTCCAGAGGTTCCTGACAGACAGCCCTGGGCTTCAGCATCACAGCCCAGTGAGGCTGATAAATCCACCCAGATGTCCCACCTGTACCCAGGAGGGAGAGGGTTGCTGCTGGCTAAGGGATGGATTGAGCATCCTGTTAAGGAATCATCCACTTCCTATGGTCCAGGCCAAGCCAGCTGACAGTCAGGACTCTGCCAGGTGAGGGCAGGTGAAGGTGTGATGCTGCTGAGGTGGGTGAACCTGAGCTCTGTGACATCCACAGGGGCTGGAGGGACATGGCCACCTCTGACCTGGCTCCTGGGAGCAGAGCAGGAAGGGGAGGCAGGTGTGCAGGCAGAAGGGTGGGAGTACAGGCAGGAGGGCAGGTAGGCAGGCAGGAGGGTAGGTGTGCAGGAATGAGGGCAGGTGGGCAGGCAGGAGGGCAGGTAGGCAGGAAGGAGGGCTGCAGGCAGGGGTCAGGTCTGGCAGTGTCCCACCTCACTGCAGCCACAGGCATGAGCTCCCCAGGCTGGGATGGACCATGTGGGGACAAGCAGAGCTGTCAGTCAGTCACACAGCCCTGGGGGGTGTGAGGGGGCAGCAGAGACATGAATCTTGGGGATTATCCACAGCAGGACCTTCCCTGTGTCACGAGCAGGGGTCACACCTCCAGGAGGCCCCCACAGCCTGTTCCCCATCACTGCCCAGAGCAGCACAGCCGAGAGAGGTGGGATGGGATGGGATGGGATGGGATGGGATGGGATGGGATGGGATGGGATGGGATGGGATGGGATGGGATGGGATGGGATGGGATGTGACAGGAGGTGCCATCCCACCTCAGGCCAGTGCTCTGCAGGAGTCTGATGGGTTTGGGCACCCACCACCACGGAGGGGTGCAGTGACCACCCCAAACCTGGGGGCGAGGGGCTGTGACTTGGAGGAGACAATGACAAGGGACATGGACAAGCTAAACCATGGTAGGGGGACATGGGGATGCTGGTGCCAGCCTGAGCCTCCTCACTGTGTATTCCCAGTGTGTGCTGAGACAGACCCTCTGGAGCAAAGAGAGCCTCCACAAAGGGATGTCCTGCCTGAAAGGGGTAACAAATGGCCCCGTTCCTCCCCAGGAATCCAGGACGGACCAGCCAGCTGTGCTAACCATTAAACAGTCCATTATCTCCACAGGTCACAACTCATTCAGCACTCCAGGCAGTTAATTAAGACCTGCTGGTCGATCAGTGTGCACCTGCTGTGCCCTGTGCTCAGAGCACGGGCCTCTCAGAGCTCCTGGGACTCCTCCAGGCTGGGAAACTAAAACATTTCAGTCCAGCAGGAAAGAAATGAGATCCTGAGACACCTTCCAGCACAAAGAGACCCTGGAAGAGCTTGAGGCATCACTGCATAGAATCATCAACTGAATCATGGAATCACAGGAGGGTTTGGGTTGGAAGGACCTTAAAGCTCATCTCCTTCCACCCCTCTGGCTTCCATTAGCCCAGGTTGCTCCAAGCCCTGTCCAACCTGGCCTTGGACACTTCCAGGGATCCAGGGGAAGCCACAGCTTCTCTGGGCACAGCTGAGGAAGCTGGGGTAAGGAGAGCTTCTCCCTTGCTGTTCAAGTGCTGAGGTGTGACAGGAGCCCCAGCTCCAGGGAGCTGCCAGGACACCTTCATCCTCCCCTCCCACCCCTCCTCCTGCTCTGCTTCCAAAACATGCCTTAGGCTGTGCCTGCTGCTGCTCCCACCAGGGCCAACAGCAACCCACTGGCTCTCTTGGCCAGGAGGAATCATGGAATCATTAAGCTTGGAAAGACCTCCAAGATCATCAAGTCTAACCTCATGCCCACTAACCCCTATCCTGCAGTGCCACGTTCACCTGTTTTTTGAACACCTCCAGGAATGGTGATTCCACCACTGCCATGGGCAGCCTGTGCCCAGGCTTTACAAGTCTTTCAGGGAAGAAATCTTTCCTAATATCCAACCTGAACCTCCCCTGGCACAACGTGAGGCCGTTTCATAGAATCACTGAATCATTTAGGATGGAAAAGACCTCCAAGATCATCAAGTCCAACCTGTGTCCCCTCCCCACCTTGTCACTCAGTAAGAGCACTGAGTGCCACCTCCAGTCATTCCTTGGACACGTTCAGGGATGGGGACTCCACCACCTCCCTGGGCAGCCCCTTCCAATGCCTGACCACTCTTTCCATGAAGAAATTCCTCCTGATGTCCAACCTTAACCTTCCCTGGTGCAGCTTGAGGCCATTTCATAGAATCAAATCATCAAGTCCAACCTGTGACCCATCACCACCTTGTCAACTGGACCAGAGCACCCAGTCATTCCTTGAACACCTTCAGGGACGGGGACTCCAGCAGCTTGTCCTTGCCTGTCCCTGACTGCTGGGAGAGGAGCACTGGGAAGGCTGGGTGTGAGGACCAGCTGGCTGTCTGGCTGTCCTTCAGGGGGGACACCCCCAGCCCCTCACCTGCTCGCAGAGGGAGCGGAAGCCAAGCTCCTCCAGCCGGTCGAGCTCGAAGGTCTCCCCCAGCAGGGGGTTGAAGGGCTTGGCTGTGCGGTGCACAGTGGTGGAGTAGGAGGACACGGAGAAGGCGGCGACGAAGCACATCTGCTCCGTGGAGCTCTCGCACTTGACCGCCTTGTCCAGCAGCTCGTGGTACTCCAGGTCCTCCGTGAGCCGCTGCAGCATCGACAGAGGCTCGTTGAAGTTCACCTGCAGGGGAAGGACTCGGGTCAGGGAAGCGGGAGAGACACTCAGGAGGCATCACCAGACCCTAAATAAAGGCAGGGAACATGTGCTCTGCTCCCTGAACAGTGCCACGGGAGCACCAAGGCTTTGAAGTCCCCAGCTGAGGTGTGGGGCAGCCCCGTGGGATAACCAGGGATCATCCCAGGCATCAACTTGACCCCCAAAATGAGCCTCAGCAGCTCCCTGCTGCCTCCCAGCCACCATCCCACCAGCCACAGCAGCACGGGACAGGGATGTGCTGCTCCCCAGCCTGTCCTCACCACCTCCTGGTAAAGCCATCCCTGTGCCAGGCTGACCCAGCTGCTCAGAAAACCTGGAAAACCCTTGTTTTGGGGTCTCCCTGCTCCAGGGACTCCCATGACAGCACTCTTATTTTTTGCTCTAAAAATATTGAAATTAAAAAATAATTGAAAGAAAGATGGAGCCTCAGAAGGTCTTCTGCCTCAAATCCACAGGAAATTCACTTTTTAATTTCAGTTCAGAATAAAGAAGTACATTTTAGAAGGAGCAGATGGCTGAAGGATGGGAGAACCACTTCTGTAAGCCAAGTTAAATATTTCATGGTAAAGAAAACAAACTCCAGATTCCAGGATTTAGCTGTTTTTAAATTTTCCACTCAGGGAAGTGGCAGGGATCTTTCAGCATCCAAGAAAAGAGCTGTGCAGAAAGAGCAGCATCAGATCCACAGAAAGAGCAAATCATTTGGGATTACTCTGGGGAGAGACGCAAGGAACAAAGCTGGCAGCTCCATCCTCAGCACCACTCAGGCAATGGGGAAGCAAAATCCTTCCATGGGGGAAGGGGAGGAAGATGAACCCACCCAAATCCCAAATCCTCACAACTCTTTTCCTCCTTTTCAGTGCTGCAGGTTTGTACATCAGAGGAAAAATTAAGGAGCTGTTAAGACCTGCACAAGAGGTCTGTCAGTCCATCACATCCCCCGGGAAGGAGATGGATCACAGAACAACTCAAGAGCACCTCAGAAATGGTCCTAATTCAACAAGACTTTGGGTGAAGCCCATGGAATGAGAAATCCCATCACTCAGAGAGCACAACGGACTCACTGATGGTTTGTGCTATAAGTAACCACACTTCCAAACTGAATTCCCCAAGTTGCCTCTTCCACTCCCTCCTCCTCCTCCTTTCCCACAATGTCAGCTCCAAAGCCCTCCCTCAGCAGCTCCATCTGGATCCATGGAGCTGCCAAACTCTCCTGCACCTCTCCATGGACCATGGAAAGGATTTTGGTGGCTGTTGGAAGGAGGTTAAATTGCCCTGTTGCCCACAGGCTGCTTGTTCTTGGGGTGAGTCTCCCAAAGAACTGCCCATGTGTGGCTGAGCTTGTGGGGTGTGTCCTACTTATTGTCATGGAACCATGGAATGGTTTGGGTTGGAAGGGACCTTAAAGCCCATCCTGTTCCACCCCCTGCCATGGGCAGGGACACCTCCCACTAGCCCAGGTTGCTCCAAGCCCTGTCCAACCTGGCCTTGGACACTCCCCAGGATCCAGGGGCAGCCACAGCTTCTCTGGGCAACCTGTGCCAGGGCCTCCCCACCCTCACAACCAGGAATTCCTTCCCAGCATCCCATCTAACCCTGCCCTCTTTCCTACTGCCCTCAGGTTTGGACTTCAGCAGCTCCTGGGATGATTTGATTGATAGGGAAGGTATAAGTTTCCTGTCTCCATGCACCAGCAGCTGCTGGGATTTCACATCCTGAGCTTATTGCTGTGCCCATCACACTTGATCTGCTGCTGCTGCAGAAACACGCCCGGCTGGGCTGGGCTGGAAACAGCACCAGGCAGAGCCAGCTCAGCACTCTCCCCCAGAGCTCGGAGCTCTCGCTCAGGCTCTGCCTTAGGAAGAGACAAAACACAGCCAATTCAGCATCCAAGCCCCTGGAATGTGTTCCTTCTTCTTTGCCCAGCAAAGTATGGACCATGAATACGATTCCAGGGCTATGGATCACCCTTTGCTGGGTTAATTCCACTCCAGCCAGCACAATAACCCCCAGGCACCCCAGAGGTTTCCAGCTCTCCCAAGCTTGCCAGGCCCTCATGATTTCTGGGGAGATGGTACCCAGTCCCACCCATGCTGCTGAGAACAGGCAGGCTGAGAAGGGCTGGTCTGCTCTGAAAAAACAGGGCTGCAGTTTTGGGGAGTTTGGTGTGGCAGCATTTAGCTGAGGCACAGTTATTTATCTGCAAGAATTAAACACACACCCCACCTGCCCTCTGTGCAGCCAGAGAGGCTCCTCCAGACAGACCCCCCCCAGCAAAGCCTCTCTGACCATCATAGGGAGCCTTCACCTCCAGGACTGAGCCCAGCAGCACCAAAAATCACCTCCTGGCACCTCCTTCACTAAAAAGCTGCTCTTTGTAAGGAAAACGAGGTACTCTGGGTCCCTGGGGTGCAACCCAGCCCTGCTTGGGTCCAGTGCCGGTGGGGCTGAAGCCCCAAGTGTCCAGTCCCCAGGATTACCCACCAGAGGTGCCTTCTCCATGAAGATCCTCATGGATTCACAGTG